AAGTGTTTATTGACAGAAAAAAGCTGGCGTTTTAACTGAGTTCGCATATTTTCAAGATTAGAAACGGCAATTTATTGCAATCCAAGCGTGTTTCTGTTAAGGTTCTAAAAGTATTTTTCTCAATAGATTGTAATTAATTTGAATTTCCAGGTACTGAAAAGATGAAATCAGCTAAGAAGTTGGCACTTGCCACTTTTTTGTCAAATCTAGCAATGAAACAATAGTTCCTGATGTTATAATGATTTTACAGAAAGTGTTGAGCGTTCATGGAATCAAATGTACAGGCTTACATTACCTGTATCACCAGTTGCCGATAACTGCATGACTCGAGCTATGCATTTTTCGGGTGGCCGCGATTGTCGAGTGTTTAGTGATGTTTGACACAGTTCGACACTGGAGTGATCCCCAAACCACAACTCTTTGACGATAATTAGAAACACTCCACGGAACACTCCAGCTTGGCTATCCTCGAGATGCAAGATGAACTCAACGACTATTCTAAGACATTCCTGAAAAATGGGGTACTTTTCCATTATCCTCTCCCAGTCCAGCCCACCGGAAAAACGTAGTTTTTGGTGTTTTCTAAAGTTTGTGTAAAAGTTCCACGGCCTACTGAATTCCTTGGTTTTACAAACTCTGTACTTTCAAAGGATTTGTTCCTTATATGCCATGTGGCTTACCAGCGCCTAGTGCATTGGATGTTACAAAGTCTCTTAAATTGATGCTTACATAACCTTTTTGTTTCTTATTTGTCCTACCAAAATCCAAATATGTACCACTTTGTAAAGAACGTAATCGAGCAAACCTATATTTTCCATAAGTCATAAGATTTGAAAGTTTTGATAGTTCTGTCTAGAATGGTAATAACACCATTTGTAAGCTGGGAGCAAAAAGAAGGGATGCTCATGTAAGAACGATTTTGCCACAAATCTTTTTGTAATAGTAGACACAATTATAAAAGCATCTCAACCTATCTTCAAGAAGAGGCTGTTGTTATTGTACTTCACCCAAATATGTTTTTGCAAAAACATTGGTTACTGTATTTTGAAATGCCGCTATTTGATACACATTTTGAAAATGACTTCTTCAATGTTTTCTCTTACGTTTATTATACGCTTTATACGTTTATTAGTAATCGAAGTCCAAGGGTTAGTTTATTTGCCCTCCTTATCTGTAATGTTTGCTTATAGTTGTATTCAGAATTCGATTACTTTCATTCCAGATCAAAATGTGCTGCACTATTCTACTTTGTATTTTGGCCATTCTCTGTCCAGTAAGCTAATATTTCGTCTTCGTGCTCTTTATTTAACAAGCAAAAAACGAAATTCATTTTAGACACGATCCATCATGTCCCATTTTAATCACAATAAACATTATTAAGCCTGTTCGGAAAAGTTCCGTCAGCACCACCAGGATTTACCCAGGTGGGAAGGTGTTCGACATTTCAATGCGGGTATTCACAAACTAACAAATACCGCTTATTAGGCTAATAGGAAACCAGCGATTGCCCGTTATTGTTCGAATCTCTCGAGAAAGCATGGCTTCAGTCACATTCGAAGATTTAACAACCAATTTTGCGATGTTGCGTGGCAGTATATATACATAGAGGGTGTGCTGCGTTGAACAAATGAAATCGATTATATCACTTTATAGGTTACCATGTTTAGGTTTTTTACACTTTTTCTTGAGTTCAGTTTAGTGTGATTTTTCGCCAACGCTAGTACTTGCTCAATCGAAAATATTGCAGCCATTAGCTCTACTCATAGACCGAGGTTGCAGTGATCAGTTCTGGATCAACCTTCTCCTGACCATCCTCGTCTATTTCCCTGGCCTCATCCACGCTGTCTGGGTGATCCTTTGTCAACCCGATGGCTATCACCACCGTCATCATCATCATCACCACGAGTGTCATTGAAAGAGTTGTGTTTGCTATCTCGTCACAGTGATATTCAAATATAAACACAAGCTCTGTGTTGAACAATCGTTGAACAATTTTCTCCACATTGATCTTATGAAGTTATACTAGGAATCAATGTGCTATTTGTGTCAGACTCTGCGCTTTTCAACCTCTTTCACATTGTAAATGATCTGTCGAATGCACTGATTGCATTAATTATTCACTTCTATAACACGCCAATACGAGCCGAGCTTGTCACTATCACAAATATTTTTTTGACACTGAATCATTGTCGTACGTTTAAGGCTTCCACACACAGTTATGTTCTCCCATGAGGCTTTTCTAATCAACATTGAGAAATAGAATTGTCAAATAGAACCTTTGCTCTAATTTTCTGTGAGTTGCATCGGACTACCAGCGCCTGTGCACCGTCATCAATCTCGTCGAGCTCAGCAAGAAACTTTCTCCACTCAAGAGACACGTGCAGCACCAGATATGCCATGTGAGGTCTTTTCACTATTCTCATTAGGCGGGAGAGGATGTACCCATAAGTATCTCTGCAAACACTATGCTCATAAATAAGTATATCAAACGTAGCAGGATTGCTTTTGTGATGTAGTGCTTGTTTCAGTCGACTCTTAACCGTTTACAATGTACTAGTCAGGTTTCTAGTGAAGCGAGATTTATGACACAATCATAGTTAAAAAAATCCTCATTCTCAAAGAAGATATGAATACGCATTACGCATGCATGCATGCATAATGACTTTATAAGTCAGTTCAGCAACACAGAGTGAGCCCAAACTGTCTCATGAATTCACCTCTAGAGAACATACCCGGTAAAAAAGGCCAGCCGCTAAGAGTAATCCATGGAAGAGAGATGTGTTCACTTAATTGATTAGCTCAATATTATGTTGAATCACTATATGCTAGCTGATATAACACTAGCTATTGCAGAATATATAGCCATCAAAACAAAAACGATTAATTGAATAGCGACAATAGATGAGCATCTATCCTACGTGGAAGGGAACCATTTGGTGTGTGAACATCATTGGATTCGAGTTACACTTTATTTCTCATTCTGATCGATGAGACAACGAACCCTCACCTTGCGAGGACAGCCAACTGTGTAGCATCAACTCGATCAACGTGGTTCGAGAAAGGCGAAGTGGCCGAAGCGTTAGCCAAATAATAGTTTTTTCATATGGACCCAGTGTCAGGTGTCATATAAAAGTGCCACTGAGTTGTACTGTATGAGTGGAAAAAATGCAAAACGGTTAGTAAGAGTGTCAAAGCGTTGTAATTTTGAAATCATATAAAAGTGCCATGAGTGTACGTATGAGGAAAAATAGCAAAGGTTAGTAAGAGTGTCAAAGCGTTGTAATTTTGTGAGTAATATGATTTTCGTGACCTATCATTCTAAAAATTTCAGTTGCTTGTCATCAAAACCACACAATGCCACTTGGTGTCACATACAACAACGAAATATAAAAGGAGTTTCCTTCAAATCAAAAGCTGAAGTGGCAGGACAATAATGCTTTGGTCGGCTTCACTTGGAGCTTAGGGTTATTGGAAGCTTTGATACAGTTTCCACAACGTTTTGGGATTAGAAGAAATTTTTTGCTTTTATGGCATCTTTGAGTCATGTGAAGAAAGGCAGAGGTGGAAACGGTGGCCAAGAGATCAGTGATGCTCGGTGTTGGCTTGATCCTTCCAACATTTCCCGGCAACCATTCAAGGAGCGCTCTTGAGAACTTACTATCTTGGCTACCCCTCCACATTGCAAGATTTGTCCGGCCATATTCCATAATGTTCATGAAGAAACCGAAATTCTCAAGCAAGCGATGAATTTAAGGAGACAAATTGGGTGTTCGAAGTATTGGGATCCGGTTAGGAGAAATGTGATACGAGTTTCATGCTGGGCAGAATGGCCAGCACAAATTAATAGACTATGTGAAAATTTGCACTTGAAATTCGAAATGCTAATCAAAATTATTGTAATCAATCGGAATTCAATTATGTGACCGCCTCTTGCGGTGGTATGATCTTATAATATACCAATAATGTAGAGTGCATGTGCAAAAACATTTGTGTCAGCCGAGATTTGAACCCACATCTCTCTCTTTCCGCGAGCGCATGCTGAACCGTTGCACTACCGACGTAAAATTATTGTAAGGCTCTTCTTGGCAGAACGTTTCTTTCATGAAAGTCTATTTCTTAAGAAGAGGTGAAATTGACATGAGAAGTAGCTCTCTAATAATATTTTCATGCAAAGAGTGATCATATTCTCACGAACAGAATAAGGAACATAGCGTAATAAATCGAAACTTATTCTCTTTAGACTTAGACATGAGAAATGAAAACTGTATCATGCGTTGTTCATTCCGAAGGTTTGCGGCTAGGATGGTACATATAGCAAACCTCCCAGGGAGTTTTGCTACCTTTCGGGAATTACATGATAATTTAGGCAACGCAAATGGTCCACAACCTGAGAGAGCAAATCGTATCGCAGAGGTTCCAGGACCTTAGACAGAAATGGTCCAAGTGGCGAGGGCGGCACCCAGCTGCCACCAACCTCAAACAGTCAGTCCGATCGCGGGGCATCGTCCGAACGTTCGTTTGACTTCATCCAGACCACCTCATCTCAAATCGTCATTAATCCATCAATGCTTCTCCACACAATCTCGTTGTCGTATAACTAATAGCTTTCATAAGGCTGCATTCATACAACTCAGATCAATAGAATTGTGAGCGGAACATATCACCAACGTGGCGGAGCAAACTCACTTAGGCTATGCTCGGCCCAACACCGCGGTTTAGGGATTCTGCCCTTATGTAATCAGTAGCGACCTCACTGCTAACACTAAAGACTCTCCCACTGGATCTCGTAGCCTGTGCTTATGCTTCGGGGCGAACATAGCAACCCCAAAAGGTCTCCGCCGCTTAGTCATGCTCCGTCAGTTACAATAACATCGTCACTCACAATAACATTGTCACTTGCAATAACATTATCACTTACAATAACATCACCACTTACCATGACACTGTCGCTTACGATAACATTCACAATGCCTGTGGTGCTGTCTTTGCGACAATTTTGGTGCATTAGCCGGGAATCGAACCCGGGTACCCTGCGTGGCAGGCGAGCATTCTACCACCGAACCACCGATACCTCTGGTGGTGCCTTTGCTACAGAATAATTCTCTTCGACTGCTGACGCTTCCGTGAACTACCCTTCCTTAGAGACAGACGCACTCAATTAAACCATATTTTATTATTCCGTTAATGCTACCTACATCACTACAACTCGGTACAAAACATCAGCTGGGGCGGTTTTCACTATGATCAGTCTGTTGATCGAAGAAGATAAAGATAGAAGCTTAGTTGTTGAAAGACTAATGAATAGTAATCAATCTAATGAAAGTGTAATCACAACGCGTAGCAGTCTTGATTACGAGGTCCATCCTGAACCACATACTAAAAGAAGTACAGAGTTTAGTGTACATAAGTTTCAAAGAATTATGTGAGAATAGTAAACTTCACGCGAAAAATCGCTCAATTATGAATATCTGACCGTCAACCGAAAAGTTGAGTAGAAATAGAAAACCTCATTTTGTTTTATGAAAATTCCATCAAGCCCTGAGTCATTTACAAAAAAAAAACATTCACACTTCAGACACTTTATTGATCGACCCTCGCAGTGTTTCTTTTTCCACTGTGAGGATATCAGTACTTCTAGCAATCAATTTGTTGTTTAGTTTTCTTCTTAAATTCCTAGAGTACTGCCTGAGCGACTCTCTTTGCAATCCCGAGGACAGGTGGGTAGAATGTCTAATATTTATTACATTTTCCTTATTTATTCCATTCGTTTCTTTATTTGCTACTTATCATTCACTTGACTTAAAAGAAGATCATACGTATAGTTAGGTTTTGGTTTTTTTTATTCAAAAATTTTGTGCCTAACCGTTTCCGAACTGCGTAAATCAGCTGTGGTTCCGTTGAATGTGAAGTGGCTCGTGCCCGCGCTCGTAAAACTTCATTTTCCCCTTCTTTTTTCCTTTTCCTTCAGTTTCTTTCCAAACTTTGAAATAATCATCTTATAGATATATACCCATTGATGTAGAGCGATGTGCAAAACTTTCGCCTCAGGCGGACTAGAACCCGCACCTCACTCTTTCCGGGAATGCGTGCTCTCTATCCGTTACACTAATGACGCCCATTTTGCACATCACTCTTTCTACGCTATAGCGCACCGATCTGTCAGCCGCCAGCCGTCAACGGCCTGACCCGTGTAGTCGGTCTCGACAGTTTGATCTAAATTTCTTTAGTTTCATTTGGTGTTTTTTTTGGGTTTTGGCTTTTAGTTTTTCTGGGTTTGTGGGTTTCTTTTTTTGGTTTAGTAGCGTTTTCTACTATTACGAACTTTGGAAAAGTATCAAATTTCGATATCATTTTGTTTGACCGTCTATTGCGGTATTATGACGTTTCTAGAAATCCAATGATGTAGAGTGGTGTGCAAAAACGTTTGCGTCAGCCGGGATTTGAACCCAGATCATACTCCTTAGCACGTGCTCCCAGAAGAAGTAAGATCTGGGATCAAATCCCGGCTGACGCAAACGTTTTTGCACACCACTCTACATCATTGGATTTCTAGAAACGTCATAATACCGCAATAGACGGTCAAACAAAATGATTTGGGATTTGTGTATCCTTATAGTATATATTTTTATATCGTATCTTTTCGTTCGACGGGCACGTTAGCGGACGATCCAATCAGTACTCGGAATTTCCTAGAATTTTATAGTGCCTTTGTCACCTGTGAGCACATGTGGCGCAGTGGTTGGAGGTGCTCTGCGTCACACACGAGATTAACTGTTCAATCTCGTGCTCATGGCTCGCCAAGCCATCCAACCCTCCGGGATCGGTGGATTGGTAGCAGGCAGGTCTCAGACTTGTCTGGGAGGATAGCAGCACTGACTCGGTTCAGCGGGAGGTCACCGCGAGTCATTGTAAGGGCCAGTTATGCATTCAATCACCTCGAGCGAAGTCAAAGGAAACTGAAGACGAATGCATGGCGCATCCCTCAGGGATTGATCAACGCCGAGAGCTTCATCCTTTATTTTTTTTTATTTCACCTGTCATTTCTCTGTCTAATTCTTGTCAATTATCTCGTCTGTTTTTGTTTACTTCGCTAATGTCGTATTCCAGAAAGTGTGAAATTTTCATGAATTTCTAAAGAATGCTTTCCACTTTGTTTAGGGTGCATAATGGACACTAAAACCTCATCGTCTAGTGTGAAATCGGAAATGTTTCGATCTCCGCCACTACAGCTGAGTTATTACGATATGTATGAGTCGCCTCTTTCCACGAAACGTGAAAAGGTGAGCGTTCTCTGCCAATTTAACTTTCTTCATCCCGCTCTTGGGAAGTATTATTTATTCGTGAAAGAACCTTTGAAACTTTTCATGAGGTCTTTTTGTACGTTTATGCAGTGCAGTACACGTTTTTCGGCCTTGACAGCCTCGTCAGATGCACTGGGCCTTTCGTCTCAACCAATCCTCTTGGTGGAAACACATCCCTCTTTCATGGAGGAGTCGTCGGCGAACGCGTTGCGCTATGTGTAAAGTGAACATCACTTCACCCACGGGCAGCATATCACTGCATTTCCACTGACGTGGTCGCCGGGCGTTCCAGTGATTAACAGTGGATCGCTCAAGAGTGATAATTTCGTAATAATACATTTATATTCGATTTTTTCTGAAACATAGTAAGTCTCCGTCTCCTCTGTGTAAGAGGTTCGCTCCCCGGAAGGAAGCCCGAGACAAAAGACAATGTGCAACTAACAAAGTTATCAAGGCCGAAACACGAGCATTGCACTGAATAAGTCCCATATAAGACCTCATGAAAGGCTTAAAATATCCTGTCAGGATGTATTAATTTCAAGTGAGGTTTCAAAAAACAGTAGAATATAAGGGTATTATCTATTCGCCTTTGAAGCGAGTTGATTGATATGCAAGATATTCTACTTCGGGGGGAGGTAAACCCAAGTTTCACCCGTACCCGTGTACGCGTAACCCGTTGAGTTGGTTGGTAACGGCTTTGATATCTCATAGCGAAGGAAGCGTGTTAAGCAATCGATGGTGTAACCGTAGCACGCGTCCCTCGGCAAGGGTGGAATAAGGGTTCAACTCCCGCTTGGGTCGGTATATCGCATACTCTTACCGCTCTCATATATAAAATTAGAAGATCATTTAGCTTCTAGGAAGCAGCAGAGGAAAGCCGGGGAGCGTTGAGTGTAAAGGTTTGGCTCTACTCGCGTCAGGACGAGCAGAACAGCCACTCGGGCGTGGCGCCCCCAAAAATATACTATGTATATCATATACATTATATATTATGTGTTGCGTGTACTATACGTATCATATGTATATTATATATTTCATATATGTTATATATTATCAATTTATATGAGATTTATTTCAAAATGAACTAAGTATAATAAAATATATTAAATTATATATTAAACTACTATACTCCACTATCATACTATTATGCTATATATTGTACTAAACTACTATTGCTAAGCTACTATACTATATTATGTTATACTATTGAACTTATTATGTTACACTATTATACTGTTATACCATGTTGTGTACAAAAAACATTCAAGAGTTGAAAGTTCCACTACTTGAGAATATTGCGTAATTGTTCAGTATTAGTTGCAACACACACTGTACTGTGTAACTGTGTAGGTGTCCATAAACACACCTCATGAAGGCTCAAAATACATTTACAGGTTATAGCGTTCTTGAACGAGGCCTCAAAATAGTCAATTGCAGTGCTTGTTACCTATGCCCACGTAACAGCCAAAGTTGCAACACACAATTAAAGACAACAGATGGCACTCTACTGTTTCGAATGCTAATAACTGATGATTATTAGTTGAACGACAGAGCTCATGTTACGTAGGAATCACAGAGAATCGAGAGGCACATTTGTCAAATCATTTTCTAATTAGTTTTCTAAGAACTAATGGGTTCTGGACTAAGCACTTCGGATTCTCACACAAATGAAACACATTGAGGTATATCAATATTTTCAACTGACCGTTTTGAAACCTTGCTCAGAAATCCAACTGGATCTGGTAGAATTTGCAAGGTGCGGGTAGATGAATGGCATGTGCTACTGTTGAGTTTGCGAAAAAACCGAAACGTACGCCCAGAGCTCGAGGGTGCCATACCTGGCCTCTGGAACGCTTAAGAAAATTTTGTGAGATCAGACTGAGCTTCTTACAATGTCTCAAACTAGTTCATTGACAGATCCTTTCATTATTATTTGAGCCAACATGTCATGTGGTCTGGTAAGGGCTCTTGTACAGCCCGATACACGTGTTTACTCCTTACAGACTCGTCAGTCGGGCAGAACCCGTCGTCTTTCGAACTTTTTATTTGTCAATTCTCTCGGGAGCCCTACTCTTTCTACAGAGGGATATCGAAGACGAACGTTTCACGCTCCATGTCAAATGAAAATTTTCACCTAACACTAGGGAGTTAGGGCTTCCGAGAGAACAGACTAATAAAAAGATCGATAGACGACGGGTTCTGCCCGACTGACGAGTCTGTAAGGACGAAACCAGACACATGACATGTTGTCTCAAATAGTAATGAAAGGATCTGTTAAACTTTGAGCGTGGTCTTTATAAAACACTCGAAATAAAAGTTCATTGACAGTGTTAGTATAATATTGACGTGGAGTGAAAGTGCATGCAATAACTTTGATTCCTTTACTAATAGGGTACATGAAGAAAAACCCAACTGAAAGACACGAAATAATAAAGCCACAAGTTTTGTGCGAGTTCTTCAAGAAGATGATCAATCACAAAAGAAATACCTAGACACAGTCTATTTGAATGCTTAATTACACAAGTACGCCAAATGATTTAGCGACCATCTATTAACAAAAGCAGTTTATGCCGCTCCATTTGAAAAACTTTGCAAATATTTCAGAAACTTTTATATGTAGTCTCTAACAATGCTCTCAGCCATATTTTCGAGATTTCCTTGCAATTTCATCCGTTCCAACAGTGCAGAAGATGCGCGTTTTGGAGGTTTCGCCGTCATCAGTTCCGTTTCTCGGCCACTCAGCCCCTATCATAGGGATTGAACGTCGAAG